TGTGCCCCTATCCCTCCAGGAAGGCTCCTCACTTGCAAGCTCCCAACTCCCTCTCTTACTTCTCTCCTTTCCCCGCAGGGCCTCTGGCTCTTGGTGTTTTGTTGACATTAATTATAGACATTAGCAAAGGCCCAAGGCCTCAAGCAGCTTTTTCTCTTTCCACTTCACCTGAGGCCTTTGCGGTTTACTCTGTTTTACCTGGAATCTTTGTGAGGCCCTGACCACCTCACCCCTCAAAGGGCTCACTGCCTCTTCAGTTTTTCTAGTTCCTGTCAACATCTGCACTCTCATGGAATGACTGTCCCTTCTCTTTGGATGTGACAGTTTATTTTCCCCTTCCCCACACTGTCCTTGTGTATCTACCACTCCTCTGCCCTCAGCGGTTGTTTACTGTTATCCCCCCTTACCAGTTCTTATTCACGCACTGCCCCTTCCCCAAGCCTTGATTACGGCAGCTCATTTTAGTGTCATGGATTTTGTCTTAGACTTGAGCTGACCTGAGGGTGAGCATGAAATATGAGAAGTCAGACTTTTGGAACTGCTCATTCCTTTCCCCTAGAACTGGTGGATGAGGATGTGGGTGAGGGAACGACTGGGGGAGAGGGGAAGGTTAGAGAATGGGCGTGTTTCCCCATTGCTGGGAGGAGTTTCCATGGCATAGCAGTCCTGGAGGTAGCATGCCAAGACTGTACAGAAGCCTGAGGAATTTGGAAACTCTTTGACCCAGCAATTTGATTTTGAAGACTGTGTCTTAAGAAAATAATCATGGTTCTTCCCCTAAAAGATTTAGTCTCAAACACTATTTGTAATTATTAATAGCATAAAAAAAAGTTGAGATGACTTAAATGTCCAGCCTTTGGGGGCTGGGTAAAATTTATGATACAGCTATGCCGGGTGCCACCCACGGCTCTGTAAATATTATGTAGCCTCAAAATGACACTGGAGAAGCCTCTGGCATGCTGCTGCTGAGGACCACTTAATGACACAGCCGTCACTATACCATATTCAGCTTTAGCACATCTGTATAGAAAATCTGGAAAATGGAAGGAAGAAACACCAGGCAGGGTGTGTTATCTGTAGTTAGTGGAGAAAGAACTAGAACTTCTTTCCTTCTTTTCACTTATTTGTATTTTCTAAAATTTATAGATTGCACATAAATTTCTTTGGCATGAGGAAAAACAACAATTACTTTAAAAACAAATGCTGTCCATCTAGTCAGCTATATTAATATCTGGGCTAACATTTAGGCTCAGTTAAAAATGGTTCTAAAATGAATTAGAAATTGAATTCTCATTTGTAGCAGGGTGAACAACCTACTATAGGTCAAAGGGAGACTGTGAGTAAGTTTGATGTATTATTAAACTTACTCATTATTTGAGTAACACTTGCTGATTGTAGCCCCTTGTCTGAAAGCCTTATCTAAACACAAGACCTGGGTCAGATCGGTGACTGTCTGACTTTTGCTGTTCTTACCACTGCTGGTGTAGCATAAGGATGGTTGACTGCAGTGGAGTTTGCTTTGCTTAATGGGCAGCCCTGAGCGGGTGGGTATGGGTGATCATGTGGCCTGTTTGGGTCCTGGGAAGAGGCTGGCTCCTTCTGGTGGGGGATGAGGTTCTGAAAGTGGCAGGAATGACCGGAGCTGGCCGTGGGCTGATCAAGGGCTTTTACCCTCCTGTATGTATTAACATTTGTGTTTTTGGTGCTCAGCCCACAACTTTGCTTTGTTTTTTCCTCTCTGCACGCAGGGGTAGAGCCAGTTGTGCAGAGCCCTGCAGCCAGCAGCCCTGAGACAAGCAGTGGATGTCATGGAGCCCAGCTGAAATGGACTGGCCTCCTTGAGCCTGTCCCAATCCCTGGTCCCAGGTCTCCATCCCAGTGCTGAGGTGAGACCCCTTGAATCCCAGTTTGTGGGAAAAGAGGACAGAATACTGTTTGTTGAGGGTGAGGGCTCCTCTAAGGCTCAGGAAAAGAAGGAGCTATTGTTTCTGGCTCAGTCAAACCATCTGCTTTGGCCTCAGCCCACTAGGAGACAGGTCATTTGGTGGGCAAAGAGGCATCTGATTTGCCAGTGTGGGTCCTTTGGAATCTTGACAGGGAATTGCATTCTTTCAATTGCTGGTGAAATTTAAACTCCAAAAGGAATGAATTTATCCTCCAGGTAAGACTGTACACTCAGGCGAATGCTTAAGTATACCTCCCCTGTTCTGCAAGGCAGCTTTTAGGAAACACAGACTCACACACTCTCTCCCCCGCTCAACCCAAGGGAGACAGTGACAGAAATTATACAGGGAAGTTATTCCAAACATTCCAATAAGCTCACAAAAAAAAATGATTTTAATAACCTGATAAGTTCTGATTATAAAGATAGTATGTGCTCATAGGATGATTGGAAATGCTGATGTGGAAGAAAATGTCTGAGATGTTACCCCTGTTAACAATCTTTCAGGTAGTTCTCTATTCGAGTTACTTTTTAAACTTCCACGGGATGTTGATTTCTCTTGCATGGAAGTGAGGTAGAAAGAACACTCCATTAGGACCCAGGAAAATTTGCCTCTGGCCTGGAAACAGTGTAAATATTAAAAATTGTTCAAAACAGTATAAATATTAAAAATTGTTCAAAACTGCCGGTGGCTTGAAATTGACCATGGTGGGAAAATGCACATTATGGAAATCAGCAAGTACAAACCAAGGCTTCTTTATTGTTGGAGATTTCGATTAGATAAGCACACCAGTGTTCCCAGTGTTTACCCTCCCACCACCAGGCTGTGGGGCAGCGCCTGGCCCGGCAGCCTTTCCCCTGCGTCTGCTTGTGTCTTCACCTGGGAGCAGTCGGTACTCAAAAACATGGGTTGCATGAATGAACCAGAGAGAGATTTCTGTCCTTATTATTTTATAAGGCAAATGCAAGGTCCCATAAAATAATGAAAATGGAAACATCTTGCATACTGTGGAGTTGCCCGCCTGTTTAGAGATGGGGCTTAGCTGGAAGGGAAATCTCTGGTTTATTAATGGAGGGAAATTGTGTTTCCCTCCTCCCCTCTGGCTCTTTCTCCTTGGGGAGTCTGTGAATTACTGACGCCCTCTTAAGAAGGCAGATGAAAACCTTCCTTTTACTGACCAACATCTGGGGCAGATTTCCTTCCTGGAAAAGTCAAGAAGTTGCTCAGAGAAGTGTGAAAGGGAAGCCTGGGCAGTGCAAGCTGTGAGAGCCAGAACTGAAACCCAAGCTTTTGACTCACAATCTCTAATGGGGGAGGAGGAACTTCCTGCCAAAAGTGAAATTTCAACAAAAGCCTCTTTCTTCAAAGCCCTGCTGTGGCAGTAGATTAGAGCTAATTAAATTAACATAATGAAATCTCAGCCTCTGTTTTCCCTCTCTGCTTGCTGAATCTTCTGGTTCCCTCTGGGCACCTATCCTTTCCTCCCGTGAAGGAGAGGATGAGGTGTCAGTTAGGCACTGGTGTGTCTTTGTACCATTGTAGGCTTAGATAATTATAAAGGCAGTAAGGGCTGTAGAGGCCATCTGGCCCCAAACCCTCATTTTAGGAAGCCGGGTCATGTAGCTGGTGATTATCAGTTCCTGAGGTGAAGGCTTGTGCTTCTGGAGAGGAAGGGAGCCCAGGTTGTGGGGTGGGGAGTTGGCACTGCTTAGGAGACCACCTGATGGCTGAGCGCACCCCCCCAGGCTGGTAGGGGAGTGGTGGGAGGGTCTCCAGGTGCCAGCCCTGCCTCCACCCTTCCCCGCCCCTCCCCTGTGCCTGCTGCCACAACCCCAGGGCCCCTCAGCTATGAAGCACCCCTCTAATGTGTTGGGAATTAAGTCTTTGTCATCAGAGGTCTGGTTTTTCAGGTCAGTGGAACCAGCCAAGATCTTATTCTGAGGACCTTGGGTATGTTTATGATGAAGGGACAGGAAGGATGTCAGGTGAGCTCCCCATGGTTCCAGGCACTCTTTTGTGCTCTATCTACATTATCTCATTTAATTCTACAACAGCCTAACAAGGTATCCATCCCCATGTTGGATGTGGTAATTGAAACTCAGAGAGGTAAAGAGATTTGTCCTCAATTTCATAGCTCATAAGCAACAGAGGTGTGAACTAGGGCTGTCCGTGACCTCCACGGCTCTGCAGAGCTAGTAAGTGCTTGCCCGCGGTCAATCCAGTTGCGACACACGAAGAGTGCCTCCCTGCGGGGAACATCATTCCATTTCATTCTCTGAAGTTGTGTGAATAGCTGCAGCTCCCAGTGCTTGGAGCTTTACAAAATGCCACACTGTTCCTTTCAAATCCCGAGGGCTCTTCCTTGTGGCGTAAGATAGCATCAGAGCTGGGAGCCTTTGTATAGCCCCAGAGTGCATCCTCTTGGTCACTGAATGCCCCAGGTGGTGAGATGTGGTGCTGGTGGGTGTCGTCCCAGATCTCTCAGCCAGTTAGAAGCAGCAGGGGGCTTCTCAGCCTCTGGACTCTCAGAACTTTTTCCAGGGGTCCAGGGCAGCACTCTGAGATGACTAGGTCTGGTTTTCCTCCATGACTGACAAAGAGATTATTCCTCTGGCAAGAGGGATTTAATTCAGTTCCATAGATATTTATTGAAAACCTACTATGTGCCCAGTCAAATATTTCAGCCTGTTTGGGCAAGAAGTTCTGGCCCAGCCGTGGGTGTATAGCTTTATAAGATTCAAGGGGAGAAGCTTCCCTACTTCAAGATTATCTGCAACCTTTTTTTTCTCATTGTTCCTGTAACTTCTCATTCCAAGTCTTTCCTTCAGGATCTCTAGGAGGAGAAATTATGTCTCAAGCTGCTGTGCATTCCAGGGTTCCCAGAGCTTGAACACAGAGTTTTAAGTGCTCAGCTTGCCCTTATGGGTGTCAGGGTTTTGGAAGATCCTTGCAGAGGTGTGAGGCTGATGGGGAGAGGCAGAGTGGCGGAGGGAACAAGGTTAGTAGGTACTGCTAAGTGGGGCTGGGTGCTCTGCCTTCAGCTTGAGTCCAGCAGAGAACTCAGAGGGCAGGACTTAGGGCTGAAGAGTTCCCTGAAAAGCTTGTTGGTTCATCTTCCCATTTTTCACTCAAGGAAGTGGAGGTCCAGAAGAGGGAGGGTCTTATCTGCTGCACAAGTGGATCTGGGGTCTGTTTTCCTGACCGCCCGGTTGGGGTCCTTTATACAAAACCTCTCTGGTATTGTAGGGAAGGTTGTCCTGGGGATCAGGCACAGCCCACTTCCTGCCTTCACCTGGCTGGTCCAGTACCTAGGATGGGCTGGCCTTGGCCATTGGAGGAGTTTATGGCAATGGCAACCCAAAGGGGAGAGGGCATTGTCTCAGTGATGACAGAGATCTCCTGCAGCCCCAGCCCTCCACCTTCCTTCGTATCTTTCTCAGAGGTCTTACTTAGGCCAGGGAGCTATATCCTGTGGTTTTAGACTGGGAATCAGCCATTGTGAGAAGGCATCACAACACAGAGAAAAGCGTCCCAGTTTGGGAGACATTTGACCTGGCTTTAAGCCTGACTTGACCATAGCTGCATGACTTCTTCGGTTTACCGAGTTTCCTCATCTGTAAAATGGGTTGAATAATGCCCACCTTGGGTGAAGATCAATAATTATTTATGTAAAGTTTGTTCACAAAAAGTAGATGCCTACTAAGTGGTACCCATTACTTTTTCATGTACCTTTACTGAGATGAACTTGACAGACTAAAACCTGCACTGACTTGAACTGCACAACGTCGTAATGAGTTTTGACATATGTATATACTCACAATTAAGTTAATGAGTGTAACTGTTACCCTCAAAGGGTCTTCCTGAGCCTTGTTTCTCCCCGCTGCCCTTTCCATCTCTTGCCCTGCATCCCCAGCAACCACTAAGCTGCCTCCTGTCACTGTAGATTAGTTTGTGTTTTCTAGAACTTTATATAAATGGAATTATACAGCATGTACTGTACTTCTCTCAGCATAATTATTTTTATTTCACCCATGTTGTTCTGTGTGTCAATAGTTCATTTCTTTATTGCTGAATAGTAGTGGGTATATGGATATACTACAACTTATTTATTTATCTGTTTATAAATGTTTGGATTGCTTCTAATTTGGGGCTATCGAAGCCACTATATAAATTTGTGAAAAAGATTTTTGTGGTGACATATACATTTACTTCCTTTCGGTAAAGTCCTGAGAGTAGAATGGCTGAGTCATACAGTTGATGTGTATTTAACTTTTAAAGAAGTTGCCAGGAAAGTGAGCTGGAGTCTGATGAGCTTTCAGCCACCCAAGAGATCAATAAGGAACATTTAGTTCATGTTGTGCTGGGCTACCCTGACGCCACCCCAGGCCTCTCCCATCCACTTCAGCAACTCAGAATGTTCCAGGAGGTTGACCCTATCCACCCATTCCCAGCTGCTGCTGAATCTGCAGGGGCTGAGGTTCAGCTCAGAACCTGCACCTCACAGGCCTGGGTCATCTTTTCTGTTGTTTGTTTTTGAGTACACTCATGACTCAGTTCTTGATTCAGCTGATCACGGAGGGCCACCGTGGTGGTTTGGATCATCATACAGGTTTCTTAAAACAACTTCAATGAGGTACACTTTATATTCCATGAAATCAACCCACATTAAATGTACAACACATTTCTTTAGTGAATTTACTGAGTTGTGTATCTATCAACACAATCCAGTTGCAGGACATTTCTATTGTTGGTCATCTTTACATGCAAAAAACAAGAGAACTTTTTGTAATTTCATGGGATTAGTTTCGTGCTCCCAATAGGGAGATCTCCTTAATTAAATCCATTAGTATTTACTGAGTGCCTGCTAGAGCCCACAGCTGGACTAGGTACAAAAGGGGTAAAGAGATAAAACAGGGGTGGTGGCTGACAGCCTTTCTGCTGAA